AAAAGCATTGCAAAGCTTATTCTGGGGTTTGAGTTGATTTGTGGGTCAAAGGGTTATTGATAGCTTTGGCAGCAAAATCTGTGTTATTGCTTACTCTGTACGACTTAAGGGGGCACAAGGAAATGTGGCTATTTACCTCTCTAAGCAAAACGAGCAGCTTCATACTGCCAGCCTTGGGCATGAAAGCATACTGCCACTCTTGTAACTCCTGAGCCACTCTTTGCTGTAGAAATGGTTCTAATCTTTTATCTTTTTTCAAATAAAAGGAGACCATGCATCTTGCAGGATACATACAGCCTAAGTTGGTAACTGTGACCCCCAGGGCTGTCCTTAACCACTGTTCTCTACTGCCATAAAGAGAGCCTAAATCCAAAGACTTGGCAGAAAGCTGCATACTGCATCAGATATCTCTTCCAGACTAAAAACCATCCCACAGCACACGCACCCAAATCCTCCCCTAAAAGCGATCCCTGCTCACCACAGTTCTCATCTGACAAATGCAAATAGCTAATTTGTAGGTTCACTTACACTGCAAGCACAAAGAGGGAAGAACAAACAAGGGAAAACAATTGCAGAACAAAACCAAGCCATTAGGAAGCAATTAAGACCGGACATTCACCTCCACCTAGCATACACAACTTTCACACTGAACAACACCATTGTTTGCATGTTTGTTCCTTCACTTTTAACTTATCCTGCTACACCGAGCAAAAACTCAACGATCTAAGAAGGCAGCAATGTGCACAGAGCCCAACAAAGTTTAAAGGACAGGGCGGACAGTACAGCTTAACTAACCAGATTGCCAGCATGAGGAAAAGGAAGAAGGCTCTTCCCTGCCTTCTGCCATGTCCACGTACTCCTGCTGCTTCAATGCCTCCTGCACCACCCTGAGTCTCACTACTCCGTGACCCCACACAGCTAAATTAGTTACAAACTAATCCTACAAAAAAGGAATCAATAGCTTTCTGCTGGTTTAACTTCACTCAGCCAGATCATAAGGATGACAAGCACATCAGCAAACTGCACCCTCATAAAATGTTTTAGGGTTTTCTGCAAAGATGAATGAGGAAGAAAGCAAAGCAACAAGAGCTCTATGGAGCATTTTTCAATAGGCTGAGAACTGGAAAATGAATGGTGCAAGAGGAACACCAACACTTCTTTCTGAGGAGCTTTAACGCTGTATTCATTGCCATGGTCTCTGGAAGCTTTCTGTTGGTGCTCCTTTCTGTAGAAGCGACAGATGAGTGCCAGCCAAGAGGCACACCTCGATAGCAAGCCTTTCAACACGGGAATCAAACACAGCAGCACAGCTGAAGTGACACGTTTCAACAATATTCAACACAAACTTCAGGTATGAGTGTCTATTTCTACAACCTAGCATTCAGTGAAAGGACAAGAAGCTAGAAAATAAAAGCTTTACTTCCCACGTAGTGTTGGGTCACTGCTGAATTCATACCAATTCTGCCTTTAAAGAATCCTGCTTTCCTCAGAAAACGTTAACAAAGCTTACAGGAAAAGTGTTAAAATGTTTTGCAGTTCTCTCTCTAATTCAGTCACCGGCAAACTGGAGAGAAATTTCATTCCCAGCACTCCTCTGGAAAAGAAGTGACTGCATCACTTGCAGTATTGGTTGAACAGCAGACTGTGGTGAGCCAACACACGTTTCAAGAACCTTTCCCTCGGTCTCTCCTCTAGGAACCCAGTCTACACAGCAGCATTACATTAGTCAACCTAAAACCAAAGAATTTACCCTAAATTGTCCTATAAAAACTGTACTTAAAGTAATGGGAACAAAGAGATCTGACTGTTGGATAAGCACATGTCCCACTTCTAACAGACTGTAACTGTCCACACATTGATTTTCAATGGCTGAAATTCCAGTTCATTAGTGCATGACAGTCTTCTATGGGAGTCTTTGATAATGAGGAGACAGATACTACATCTCAACTTTGAACTGCAGAAGTGTCCATGAAGCACTGGGCTCCTTTCTCCAGCTACAGAACCTGAAAATCGCTGCCTACTTTAAAAGCAGCTTTCAGTGGACAGTAACAGCAACTCAGCATCTAGGAAAGGCAAAGAAGGGGAAACAAACAGCCACAGTGCTCTTCAAGAGCAGGGGCAGACAGGGAAAAAGGAGGCTGTAGCTCAGCAATCGAGAAACAAAAACACCAGCTCTAATTTTGATATTACTCTGCAAGAGATGGAAGGAAAAAATGAATGTCCCATCGCGCTTTCCGCAAATGTAAAAAACAACCACAGATATCATCAGAAGAAACTGCTCAGCTCTCCTATCCTATGTAAGACAGGAAAATAAGAGTACACCTTTCCCCTGCTTGGTTTCCAAGGTCACTCCACCTTGACTTATCCACGAATGTCCCCAAACTACTGCTGCTCACCCACACCACCATGTGCTGTATCCATCAGCTCTTGGCCCTCTGACATCTCACCAGTTCTGACTATCTACATCAATCTAACACTACGAAACTCCCGGAACTCCACACACAGGAACTTAGAGAACATGGAGATGGCTTTTATTTTAAAAACAAAAACAAACAAAAAAACAGTTTCACAACTTTAATAATAAAAATATTTTCTTCTAAAGATAAATTATCTAGCTACTTTTTTACGTAAGTTTTGCCAGCATAGGACAACACAAGCATCTTACCATATGGCACGCCTACCAGAACTATCTTTAATTTTTTCCCTTGGAGATGTAAGCTCCAATACCTGCAACCAAGCTACAATTTCGTCCTGGAGAAAACTTCTCAATTTGAGCTTTTTGGAACTAAAGATACTTCGTAGTTCAGCTCTCTTCATTTTACTTTTTTTAAAGATCCAAGACAACCTATAAAATCATTTCAGAGGTGTTTTCAGAAAGAAAAAAAATCAATCAGAAAGAGAAGGCAGTGAGGCTGAAAATAAAAACTGCTGCCAAAACGGAGCTGTATTAATCCAGTGACTCGTGGCAAAAGACGCCCTTTCTAAAACGTTATCCATAACAAGAGAAGACAATGGTTTCCCTTGATTTTGTTCTCCCACGTAGCTTTATGTGGCACTGGTCCTAGCAACAGAGAAGAATAGCACTGGCTTCGTCAGCAGACAGGGACGGCGCAACGGCTGCGAGGGGCCCCCAGCACCCTGCGCTATCCAGGCGCAATCAAGAGCAGGGCACAAAGTCTGCAAGCAGAACGGGGCTCTCGGTACTCGGCTGTCAAACTGACAAACTACAGCCAAGGCAGCGATGATAAACCTGTGTGACAGGTTCATCGTGATGTAGAGAACTCTTCTGGTGGGTGCACAACGACAACTTCAGGCTGCTGAGATCAAAACCGGGCGTCTGTTTGCAAATAGACATCGGTACCACTGAGGCAGAGAAAACAGCATGGACAAAGGAACAACTTGGTTACCTTCGTATCCAGGACACCCTCGGTGAAAAAGCACTACGGAAAACTGTTGGAAACACAGGGGTTTTGCAACACAAAAACAAGGTTGAACTAGTGAATATAAAGATATCCAACCACCATCACTGAACAGCTCTACCCAGATAATGCGAAATGAAAGCTGAAGAAAAGGGGACAGTAACTGAAAAGAAAATAACTACTAGTCAATAGCACACAGGCAGCTTCCCAGGCCTCCTCGAGGCAACCTGGTAACATTATTTTTCCTAAATTCATTTCTAAACTGCAGCTGAGCAAAAGACCACACTGCCAACAACAGCTGAGACAGCTCTGCCAGCATTTCTGGATATGCCATGCAACAACTTCAGTTTTCACTTCTATTTTTCAACAGTACGTGAAACAATGGAAGGGGGTGGGGGGAGGTTTGCTTTCCTGGGCTTCAGAAGTGTCTGGAAAAAAAAAATAAAAAATCTCATTACTGCCTGCAACAGAGGGCAGAGGGTTTCATGCTTTTCCATTGCCAGTTAGCCAAATGCCAAGGATTGTGAGGTCGTCTCATTTGCAAACCAAACTCCCAGGACACCGTTGTACGAGAAACCCTGTTCCCCTTCTCCATTGCAGCAGCTGGGAATGATGAAGGAGGGGGACAGCTGGGCTTCTTCTCATTAGAAGCGCCGCTCCCGGGTCCACCGACGGTCATTTGCGCCCACCTCTGGCGTGCGGCTCCGACCCCGCAGCTGAGCGGCGTCTCCTGGGACGGGGCGGCAGCAGCGCAGTTCCAGACGAGCGGCTCCGTTAGCGGCGTTAGAAGCTGGACGCAACGCGGAGCTCCGGGGGATGTCAGCTAGCGCCGGGCCGGTTTGTCTCCGCGAGAACGCAGCTCCCCAGATAACGCATCTCCCCCGAAGGTCCCCCGAAGGAGGCCGCGGACATCTGGCGCTTATCAGCGGGAGCCGCTCGCAGCTGTCAGTCCCACGGCAGCAGTCCCGCGGCGCCCGCGCGTAGCAGGGAAGGCGACGGCCCTCCCTCACCCCTCGGCAGCCGCCCGCCTTCCCTTCCCTAGAGCGCATCTTCACGTTAATTAATAGGTCACGGAACCGGTTTATGTTAATTGCCGGCAGTGCCTCGTCTTTGTTCCCAAGGGGAGGGACCAAAGTTCATTCCGTTGTTGCCTACGAAGCGAAATTACAAAACGCACGGTCCCGCGCGCCCCTCGGTTGCCACTAACTCCTCGGGAAACCTTCTTACGCCGCAACCGACGACTGCTCACCCCGCAGCACCGCCGCACCGCGCCGGACCGGCCTCCCGCAGCGCCTCCCCGAACACCCGGCTGTTTTCCCCGGACGCCCCTCCCGGCCCCGGCGGCCGCGCTCCCGAGCCCAGAACGCGCCAGCGCCGTTAGCGCCGCGGGCCGGCTCACAAAGAGGGTGGGCAGCGCGCCGCTCCTCCGCGACGCGGAACGGTACGAGAGCGGCCGCCCCTCTCCCTCAGGGCGGCGGCTCCCGCCCGGCGGGACGGCACGGGGAGAGGAGGGCGAAGCGAGGGGAAGGCCGCAGAAGCGGCGGGGTCAGCTTCCCCTCGCGCCCCTCGGCGCATACTCACAACAAGAAGCTCATGGCGACGGCGGGGGAGTGGGACCGGCTGCTGCTTGGGCTCGGCGCGGCGCGGCGCGGCTCGCGGCGGCGGCGCAGGGCGGGCGTGTGCGGGGAGAGCGCCGCGGGGCGGGGACGCGACACGACGCCTCCCGCGCGCAGCCCGCCCCTCCCGCTCCGCTCCTCCCCGTGCCGCGGGGCGCCGAGGCCTCCAGCGGAGAGGTGCGTGGAGCGTCGGCTGCTGCCGGCAGCGAAGCCTGTTCCCCTTTGCAGCCCGTCCCGTGTCGGAAATCGGGCGTTCCCACACCCGTCTGCCCTGTGCGCCCTGGAAACGGTGACGGCCCTGTGGGTGTGAGCCCCCGACGGGGTAGTCCCCCGTCTTAGGGACAGACTCGCTCCTGGCTGCGATGGCAGCTTCCGGGCAGCAATGAGGAAGGCCCCAAGGTTTCTGATAAAGCAATGTGGTCTGTCCGCATCCTTCAGCCCAAATTCCTTTCTGTATGCCAAGTCTGTGGGGTGCAGGAACAGAGTGGCTCACTTTGCTTTAGCCAGTAACTCAGAAGGCACTATGATAGCACTCCATGTGCCACCCCGGTTGCCTCAGCAGGTCAGTTGGTGGCATTATCCTCACCCCACCACGGTGCAGTTCAGCTCCCCCCGCTCGCAGATAACAGCTACATTCATTAAAGAACAGGAGATGTTTTCTTCTGCATCTCTGCCCTCTTCACTCAAGAGCTCGGACTAAACAAACCTATTAAAATGGCCTCCAATACTTCAGAAGCATGGGTGTTTGATTTTCAAGCAATCTTTAACTAACCTGGGGCCCACAGTCAGCTCAGGAGCGACACACCTCACAATGGAAGATATGGGCAGCTGCAAACTACTGAAGTAAAACAAAAATCCAGTCATGCCCTCAAGCTCCTGGCAGCTCCTCAGCACCACCGCCACCCAACCTCTGCCCTCACCCTGTGTGAGCGTGGGCTGCAAACCATGCGTCCTCCTGCCTGCAGACATTTCAGTACACCACAGTCAGTACCCCTGCAGCACACGATGTTTTCAGAATAAACACAACTGCATCTTTGCTGGTGTTGTCCTGTGAAGAGGAAACTGAGGAAGCACGGTGTGCCACAGGAGACATCTATGTCACATCAGGCAGTGACTGCAGGCTGGCTTTTCAGGGCATTCAAACCCAACAAAACTGCAGGCTTAGTGCCACCTCCTGACAGCAGAAATGACAATTCCTGAGAGTCACTTCACATGAAAATCTGCCTCTTTTTGGCCAGCAAGAAGCCAGATGGATTCCAGAGAGGTAACAGACAGACCACAAGGTTCTGTCCTGGGGCCTGCAGACCATCCTGCAAGTAACACACCCACAGGCAGATGAGAGGAAAATCCGCTTTGGGATTCATTGCTGGGAAAATTTGCCAAATGCACTGCAGTCCCATGCAGCACTCAGTTTCTGTCACTGCACCAGGGGTTTCTCTCAGGTGGTAACAACAAGACTTGTCAGCTTCTCATGCTTTTAAATGCTGAAATTGCATTTCCTACATTCTGGCTCCTTCCTCCTGACCAAGTCCAAATGCCAGGTCAGCGCATTTCTAAGCAAATAAAAATTACACTGGTGGTTTTGGGCACTTTTAAAATGAAGCATTCTACCAAGCAGCAAAGGCTCAACAAACATTTCATGACATTTGCCATTTTTCTTTTGGCTGCGTTAATAAAAGTGGGCATGAAATGGACCTCAGGCACTTCTAACAAAGTTTGTCAGACTAAGTTGGCCACAGAAATTCAACAGAGAAAAAAAAAATACTGCTAATCTTCCTGGCACGTTCACGCTGGGACGTGAATAACCTGCGTTCTCTGTTCCCACCCATACACTTCCTTCTACCCACAGAGCATTTTATTTTAGTGGTAAGTTAAAATTAAATGCCTCTTACTGCCACAGTCAGTAGGAAACACTTTGCCTGGGTGGCTGTCAGGAGAAACGGTTACATAATGTGTACTTTTGATGTCTGAGATTAGCATCGGTCTGCTCATGATGGCTACGGGCCATGAAGCACACGGACTGGCAGTGCTGCAGCCTTACGTAAGGGCTGTGCTGCTCAGTGGCTCCGGCAAAGGCGCAGTGAATGTACCCAAACCCCGGCAGCTGTCATTTTGGCTTATGCATTGTACTGTGGGGCTGAAAGAATTGCTCTGAAAAGGCCCTCAAGCTGAGAAAGAGCTTTGGTCCCGAACCAGAGTTCTCAGCTTTTGTAGCAGAGATTATAACACAGCTCAGTAAATGCGGAACACTCAAGATGAACAAAAGTTTGAATAAGAACAGAATTTCAGTTTGAAATATACTCTAAATACTGAGCTCTACAAGCATTCTCTCCACATTCTGGATTAAACCTATAGGGCTGACAATTTTTCAAATCAGGTACTTGACTGTGCATTGAGGTAAGGGATTTAATTTGCGTACAGGCAATCCCTAGAGGATAGCAATAGAAATGCAGCAAAGCGTTGAAGTATAAATATCACACTGAACCTGTGATCTGGACAGGTCACTGTTCTCTAAAAATAAAAATAAAATAAAAAGCAGCGCATGAAAGAATAGCAGGAACTGCAAGGTATTATACAGAGGTCACCACATTCCTGAACCTTTGTTGCTGCTGGAAGTAGAAAGAGGAATAAACATGGTACCCTGTTGCCTTCAGCGCCGTTACAGCACTCGGATGCCACGCCTGCCGCAACCTTCACAGAAACCAGTGATTTGTGGAGGATCATCCCTACAGATCTCAACAGCATTTGTGGCACAGACACCATTTGCGGGGGCTTCATCTTAGTTTACCTTCTCTGCACAAAATATATTCTTTAGGTTTCATCAGGCCCAGCTTATCTCCTTCTAAATGCTGATAGCGTTGCAATACACAATTGTGTTATAGGGCTTTCCATGGCGAGTGAAGAGAGGCCTGATGCTAGAGTAACTTCAAGGAATAGTTCCAGAATATATCACATAGAATATAATTTTTCTCAATGACAGATTGTGCAGTAACCCAATAACCCAGCATCCCAATACAAAATAAGTCTGTTTAGGATGTACTTAGAGTGTTTTCTTTTTTCCTATGATCAAACAAGAGAATAGCTTGTATACACTAACTTCATGGTCAACAGCATGGTAGGGGCATCTTTTCAGTCCCTTTACACTTAGCACAACTGATTTACTCGGCTAGGTAGGCTTCATTCAACATCAGCACTGAAGAGTGAAGAATGCAAGTTCTGTTGCCTTAGGATGATTTTTTTTTTCTTCAGATCCTAGCGACAAATTCAGAACTTCTCCTCCCTCACACCAGCCAAGAAGCCCAGAGATGCTCTGGAAACTTCAATGTTGACAGATGCCCGGCAGAACGGTGCCCTCTAAAGGTGACGGGCAAATACTGACAGGCTACAGGACGGAGTGGTGTGCTGGTTGTCACTGAACTTGGGATGAAGGTGCACTGGAGGCAAACTGGTCAGAAGACTTCTGTCTGGTAAGGAGAATCTGCCTTACACCTTGCTTGAACCCCAAACCTTGAAGAACAATTCATGTGCATAAAAGAGGAACACATGCAGCGCTCCCTTGACCTGTGGGATTCAAGAATCTGCTTATTCTGTGACAGCTTACAGTTCAGTCTGGAAAAGAGGATGCTCAGGGGCCTCTAAAGTGATCTGAAAGGAGGCTGAGGTAAGATCGGGGTTGGCCTCTTCTCCCAGATAACAGCAATAGGACAAGAAGTAATGGCCTTAAGTTGTGCCAGGGGAGGGTCAAGTTGGGTATTAGGAGACACTTCCTGTAGGAAAGAAGGGTGATGCAGTGCCACAGGCTGTGCAGGGAGCTGGTGGTGTCAGCATTCCTAGAGGTGTTCAAGAATTGTGGAGAAGTGGCTTTGTGGGACATAGTCAGTGGGCATGGTGGGGATAGGCTGGGAGTTAGAGGTCTTTTTCAACCTTAAAGATTCTATGATTCTATGACAGCTAAGAAAAGGTAGATGTTGGAGAGAAATTACTAATTACCTAATTATTTTTTTGCACCTATGGAGTCTGCTTATTTAAAAACTTTAAAGATAAACCTGATGTTTAAAACTTGAAGAAAAAAAAAAACAACACATGAAGGTGAACCACTTTAAAATTGAGTTCAATGCTCCTTTGAAAATGTGCACGCAATTCACATTGAAAACTCAAAAAATACTGGGAATCATAGTATCATGAAGGTTGGAAAAGAACACAAGACCACTAAGACCATCCAGTCCAACCCCAGCCCACCTCCACCACACCCACTTTCCTCAGTGCCACATCTCCGCATTTGCTGAACACCTCCAGGGATGGTGACTGCACCATCTCCCTGCGCAGCCTGTGCCACTGCATCACTACTCTTCCCGAGAATTTTTTCCTAATACCCAACTAAAACCACTCCAGGCTCAATGTAAGGCCATTCCTGCTTGTCCTGTCACTGTTATCCAGGAGAAGAGTCCAACCCCCACCTCACCACAGCCTCCTTTCAGGCAATTGCAGAGAGCCATAAGGTCTCCCCTGAGCCTCCTCTTCTCCAAGCTGAACAACCCCAGCTCCCTCAGCTGCTCCCATAAGACTTGTGCTCCAACACAGCTCTGTTGCCCTTCTCTGGACACACTGCAGGCCCGATGTCTTTCATGTAGTGAGGGGCCCGCAACTGAGCTCAGCACTCGAGGTGCGGCTCACCAGGCTGTGTCCAGATGGAACGCTATTGTCAGGTGAGCATATCCTAATATCATGGCAACGCCTGTCCTACGGGAGTCTGTGACATAAACAGTTTATAAAAGCAACGGCTGCAAACAGCGATATCACTTAGAATAAGTTTACGGTTTTGAAACACAGACAAAAAACACAGAAGGGAAATTAACGGGACGGCAGCAGTACGAGACGACCCGCCACCCCCAAAGCCGCAACGCTCCCCCCACCCCGGGCACCTCAGGCCGCCCGCCCGGCCCAGTCGCTTCCCGCCCTCCCCTGCCGGAGCTTCCTGGGAAGGGGAGGCGGAGCCGCGCTTACCTCTCCGCCCGCCGATCATGGCCGCCGCCGTTGCTCGCCGCGGCATGGCCGCGTTGCTGCTGGGCCGCCGCCCGTGGCCGCTGCCCTCCTGCCTGCGCCCGCCGCCCGCCCGCCGCCGCCTCCTCAGCGCCGCCGCCTCCCTCGGGCCGGGAGCGTCGCAGGCCGTGGCCCCGCTCCTCACCGCCGCGCGCCGCTACAGCCAGGTAGGGGCCCAAGATGGCGGCGGGCCGAGGGGCGCTGTGGCGGAGGCCGCGGGGGGCGGCCGCGCGACTTCCCGCTTTTCCGCTGATGGCTCTCGGTTGGCAGGTTATCGACTCGCCGACACAGGAAGGGCAGCTCGCGGAGCAGGACCCGGAGCCTCCCAAGGAAGAGATCGAAGACTCCGTGTTTCTCATCAGGGCTCATGGCTTCCCCTTCGCGTGTACTAAGAAGGAGATGATGGCCTTCTTTGATAGTAAGGGAGCTGCTTGGCCTCCGTAACGGTT